GAGACACATCGTGTGTCTCACACACACACACACACACACACACACACACACACACATGATGTGTGTTAAAACGTTATGCAGGTATGATGACGCGACACTGGCGCGTCACGTGCAACGGGAAACGCTAACGAGTGCTCTAATGCCCGCTCTGGCGTGGTTCCAATCACCGGGCCACAAATGCCGGAAGAATATATCTTGCCTGGAATCGTAATCGGTTCTCTGCGATGGCGTATTATACCTGCGCATTACCAGCAGCCTCGGCAGAACGTGGATGAACACGCGTCGGACCCACGGCGACATTACGTGGGTCTGCGGCGAACGGAAGTGTACATTCAGGACCACCACTGTTACGCATATGCTGAAATGCACGAGAGAGAAGAACGGTCCCGCGTTTGTTATTCAACATCACCCGCAATTGTACTAAATTTTATTTAATTTCCAGTGACACGACCGCACTTTTCTTTTCTTTAAGGCGAAAAAGTCGAGACAACGAAATGTCTGTCGACAAGATAACACCAAATATTGGCAAAACAATCAAACAGCGTTAGAATCTGGTATCGAAGAAAGGATGATGAGATGACGATCTTAAAAATCAAAATTAAAAATTTGTCGATTCTTTTTGTTTGTACGATGGTGACGTAAAAATAATAATCAATTTTTTTTTCTGATTAGCTAAGGCTTTGTCTATCTGAGGAAACTAGAACATATCTATAAATAAATTTTGTATAATAATTTAAATTTTTTTTGAGGACCTGTCAATTTTCCTGTCATCTCCCGTATATAAGCGAGATGATTTTTAATAGTAGAAGATAAGATAATAAAAATTAAAAGTAATTTTTTTGTACATAAAAATTAATTGTTTTGTATTATTCTGTTATTACAATGTTTGAATAATACAACAAAATATAAGTAAATATATATTTACGAATAAAAAAATGTTACTTATAATAAACTGTAACTTTAAAAAAATAAAATCTGGACAGACAAAAATCAAAATTATTTATTATTACATAAGTTAAAATAAAATAAAATTATAGGAAAAAATAATTATTTACAATTATGTAATTTTTAATATGTTACTATATATTCATCTATTCAAAAAATAATAAAGGAAAGTAATAATACGTTATTATATGCTTTTGAATTTACTATACAGTAATTATTATATAATTTTCTAGAGAAAGTGAAAATATATTTACTGTAATTCCTTATGAAGAAATACCACAAAATTACATACGGATTCACGATATATTTCTTATTATATTATCTATTCTTATTATATTATCATCGTTGACAGATTAAAGTCAAATTACAATAGATTATCTATTATCATTATCAATCTTATAAATCTTTAACATCGCCTGGAACCGAGTCTTTAATTGTTATTGGCTTAAAAAAAATTAGCAAATCGTCATCTTACCCCTCTTTCTCCTATATATTTTATTCAATCAATATTAAAGCGTCATTTAATAAATTATTAAATTTAACGTTCTACATGCGCACTTTTATTATAACCGCCTTTTACGATAGTTAGTTACGATTATTCTTGTTTGTCGTACCTGAAGGTGTCGAGGATCATAGTGAAAAGGACGAATTTACCAAGAAGCGGTACCACGAGCGACGTAGGTGGGATAATCTCGGCCAGCAAGAGGAAGAACACAGTCAGCGACAATAGGATTGAGATGGACAAGCTGACCTACAACAGAACGAGAAGAAAAAAAAGGGATCTTGACCCTAGAATACATTATTTATAAAAACAATGAGAGAAGACAGTGAGATATGATACTTTTTTGTGAATATATATTAGAAATAAATAGAAGAAAACGGAAAAAAATAATCTACATATAATAATAATCTTTTTGTTTTATTCTTGGTTTCTTAAACACAATAAGCCTCTCAAAAGCCTCTCAAATTGACATCAACTTTACTTGTAATAAATAAATATTTTAATACCAGAGCTGCTTTACAACTTCACAATATTCTTTATTTTTTTATTTCGCAGAATTTAGAATTTCGAATTCACATATTATCGTAAACATTTATAAACAATTAATAATATAATCATAATTAAAATTGTAATGTTTCGTTGTATTGTTTCATTTCATGTAAGAAGAGAAACAAAATTTACAACGATTTCCTCCAAGAATTAATAATACGGGAAGTAAGTTTGTTAAAAACAGCAAGCTGATAAATAAATCTTAAAAACGTGGGCTTAACTTTGCCAATACATATTTCAATTTCTTTGCATAATATAGCGATGAGCCTTTGGCTGCAAATTTATACGTCTACAAATGTATACGTATATGTTGCGCTTTAAAAAGTGCATTGCGCGGCCAATTGAAGAGGGTTTTGTCTCTCAGGTTTTGTCCTCTCGCCATTGATCCCGTGTGCCGAGCACGTCGCAAGACGCATTACACCACTACCCCAGCTCTGTTCCTTTTCCCGAAGTACCCTCGTTGCGTATCCTCGCCAATTGCTAAACGACCGGCACCCTGACATTTGACCTATTCTCCCTTTTTTTCTCTTCGCTATCTTCCAGCTCGGAGGACAGCTCGGTACACCCTTTTTGCGGTGACAAAGCGGAACAGTATGTCTGAATTATGTAAACCTTTATGTAAGTGGATATCGGTGCTCGGGGCCGAGCGTGTCTTGTAAGGCGCTTAAAGACACATAACATGGACGCGAAAAGGTCGGCCGCGGATTAAACCGTAATGGCGCGCGAGCGCTATGCGCTATATAGTCCATATTCTAATCTAATCGAACCGAAAACTTTGCGTCTGTAAAATTAATTTCCGGCTGCAAAGTTCCCAATATGGTGTATAAAGAGAAACGCGATATCGGGACAATAAGATCGATCGCGAATAAAATTATAATGGCGCGCGAACTATACCTGTTCTATTCTGATAAAGTCGATTGTGAGCTATTCTAATTCAATTGAATAAAATTCTTGCATTTTTAAAGATTAATCTCTGCGTCTTCAGACAAATGTCTGAAAGGACTTTTTATAAATATATATCGAGAGAGAAAGAGAGAGAGAGAGAGAAATCGAGAGACATTAGATTAAATGTAAATTTTATATTAATAATTTAATTGTATTATTCTAGTCTGAGCCAATCGAATAAAATTCTTTCAAAAATTAGTTTCCATCTTTTACAATAATACATACATATAAATACGTGCGAGAACTTGAGATTATAATGCGAATCTTATTTTTATTTAATTTAATCATAAATTATATCATTCCACTTTAATGTAATTTAAAAGTTTTTATTGCTCAAAAATTCTGTTTGATAGAAAAAAAAATCTCTAATAAAAAAGAGTTTAAATTTTTCATTATTCATTACATTGCAATATATATAAGAAGTTTGAAATTTTGACTTAATTCAACAAGATCTTCGAGGATTTGCGAGGATTGCTTTTCCTAAAACGAAATATTTCTGTTTCTAAACACAACACGTGTAAAAATAAATAAAAGCAGAAATATTGGCAAAAACAATTTCGAAATTAAATTAAATCACATTGTCTATTTTGATTTTTAATTAGAATATAAAATTCTTTCCCTGAATTGATTCAAATTTATATTTTTTTGGATTGGTTTTCAAAATAAAATATCTAATTTTCGAAAAATTTAATTTCAGCAATGCGAAGTAAAAAGAATTATTTTTTTTTTTATGTAAGCAAAAAATTCCGCAAAAATAACGCGATATATACAAAATATATAAATATATAAAAATCAAGAGGATAATCATCAGCCATTTATGAATTAATTACCTTCTCTCCACTGTCGCTTGGCAGGTAAAACACCAACACCGTGAGGAATGATATTCCCATACAGGGTATTATGAGGTTAACGGTGTAGAACAGAGTCTTCCGTCTCATGGTGATGTTGAAAGTGATGTCGAGGTAAGGCTCGTCACAACACGTGTAAAACTTTTCGTTTCTGTAATTCGCATATCCCCCATGCTTCGCTCATAATCGATATATTGACATTAAAAGCGCATGCATATTTTTACACATCTTTTTTAATTTAAAATTAAAGTCAAAGCTATTAATATTACTGCCGAATATTAATAAAGCTATTATTGAGGATTAATTAAATTGCAAATCATTCGCTCAAAGTGCGAAATATGCCAATTTATATAGTTATCAACATAATTTCAATTTGGTCGGCAGATTAAAAGTTGCAAAATGCAAATTTTTAATAACCTACGAGGAGATTATTAACAATATATATATATGTGTGTATATGTACCTTACAGCAGGGACTTCTAGTATGTCCCACTCGACGGAAGTATAAAATTCCGACAAATCGACGCCGATGTCAACGACATTGCTGCCTCGAACCTCGTCGATGTGTCTAAGATCGACCTTTACAACAAATTCACTAAATTTTACAATGCATTGTTAATGTCACTGCTGCTTACAACGTCCATTCAATCGATACTTTTCTCCTCTCATTACGAACAAATCCACGCAATCAAAATATTTAAAGTTAAATCAAGAATAGCTAAGAAAACTAAAAATACAAAATCTTAATGCAATGTGCAAGTATAGTGCGCAAAGTCTTAGCGCAAAGCGCTTTTATAAATAAAGATAAAACGTATTATATGCGAAAGATAAGATTTAATATTATTCTTTAAATAATATAATTCTTTAAATACTTAATATTTATAGGTCAGACGATTCTAACCGTCTTATTGCTTTTACACCGACGTTGCTCGCTATTTATGCTCGATTGCACTTCTAACAAGCGACAACTTTGCTCAATAAAAAAAAAGAAGATAACAAGCAATATATATATATATATATGATCTTTCATCGCGCGATGCCTAACGGGTTGGGGACAATAATGCCTCTCGCCATATTGTCGCGATCGCCACTCGCAGAATATTTTATGATTGCTCTAACAAGATCTCCGCGAGATCTTTCTATTGCACCAACAAATTGAATTCTTCAAATCCTCGAGATTAACTGAACAGATTCATTCAACACATTCAGATAGAATATTATGTAAAAAAAAAAAAATATATATATGGAACAGGTCTCTGCGATGTAAAGAAGAGTCTTTACACATTTCACATACAAGTGAAATAAATGTTTATATTAACATTTTATTTCCAACAACATTTTTCTCGCAAAGAAAATCTTAATGTATACAATTAATATAATTAATGACGTATAAATAATTAAATCTTTTCCTCGTTTTTGTCTCGTATTTCTTTTTACGTATGCTCTTGGAAATAAAATATTGATGTAAACATTTATTCGCCCGTGTGTATTAAAGACTTGTCTCCTTTTTACATCGTAGAAACCTTCTTGTCTCCTTACAAATGACTAATTGTACCAAATTATACCAACAGAAAGGAATTATCCAAAATGTCGGCGAATTCCCAGGCGGTTCTCACCTGGAAGCCGTCGTAAGTCCACGAACCGAATTTCATCACACATGTCTGCTCGTCGAAAGGAAAATATTCGACGTCGATCTCGCAGGAAGACTTATAAATCGCCGGCGGCTTCCACTCGACTCTGCCCGTGTAGTTGAGAGTCGCTTTCGTCGCCAGCGTCACCTCGAAGTTACCGTCGGCGCTGTCAAAATATGAGAGCTTTGATACGCCTATATCTTTCTTGTTAAAAAATTAATCTCACTTAAATATGTATAGGGTAATCATTTTCTATAATTTTTGAAAAAGATCCCATCACTTCAAATGTGCAATATATCTTGGTATATTGGATATATCATACGAATTATTCAAAAAAATTGGGGGGGGGGTATCAAATTGATACAGAATGTTAAACAAGTGAACAAATATTTTATTTGTTATCTATAACAAGATATTCGGTGAAAAAATTCAATCAGCGGATCTTATGAGTTTTATAACTCCTTAGAATCGTCCGAATTTTGACTTTTACTTATTTAATATTATACATTTTTATAATTCTGAATAAATAAAAACGACGTAAGGATCTACAGGATGTACAAATAATAACTAACAATTATGTCTTCAGAGCCAGCGATTTGTTAGAAAATTATACAATGTTAAATCATTGATATCTTACAAGTTTTTAATAAATAATTTTCAGACATGATTTCACAGAAACTTTTACGATGTATACATGCTCTCTTGTTTGATTTTATCATTTATTTAAACAATTTAATATATCAATTTATTTCCAATCTTACTGAGCACCTCACATAGTTTGTCATATAAAAACACCTGCTTTCCCTCATAATCAAAAGATAACCTGTTTAGTTTTGAAACATAAATGTGCTCTATCATGCTTTCAATCTTCATTTAATATACTATATCACTTTTTCCATCGCCGAAAACATGTTAAAAAATTTGGCAAAAATGGCAATAAAATGATATCCGACAATTGATAATAAGAGATTAAAACACAAGTCAGAGCGTATTTAATATAAATATTCTTTTAATAACCGCAATAAAAATTTCATCACTCACTCACTTAAAATACGTAAAAAAATTTGATTTTTTGAAGGTAAGCATTTTTTAATTAAAATTAATCATTCACGCGCTTTGACATCCAATATAAGACATTGCCGGTTTTTGATCAACAATTTATTCAAATTCAACACTATTCTGCATTTAATAAACAATATATACTAAAGATAGCGAATCATTAATAATAATAATAATAATAATAATAATAATAATAATGATTCTCTCTCTTACTTGTTGTATAAAACTATATCGGGCCTCCATATGTGATCTGACGGCACATGCAGCATTTCCACCCCACCGTACTCCTTCGGATCCCATTTCAACTTGTAATCATACCATGACTGCAAAGAAAGTCGGTCTGACTATACATTATATTCTTTTGCTATTTTATCTTTACAATCACCTATTAATGTCGGTCCACAATAAGTATTTAATCTTTAAGTCGTAAGAAATTGACTAATCATAGTCGAGTATTCTTTTCATATTCGATTATAATTGGTCAATTTTTTACTTCTTAAAACTTAAATCACCTATTGTGGACCGACACTTACATAGCTATACTTTACTACGTCTTTGGAGGATGTAAGACTAACGTAGAGGTTTGAGCAATTCGTCGAATTCCTCTTTGCGCTTTGAGAGAGAGAGAGAGAGAGAGAGAGAGAGAGAGAGAGAGAGAGAGC